TGCAGCTGGGACACGACTTCATCAGCAGACCATGGTACCCTGTACAACTGGGACACAGCTTCATAAGCAGACCATGGCACCCTGTGCAGCTGGGATATGACTTCATCAGCAGACCATGGCACCCTGTGCAGCCAGGACACGACTTTATCAGTAGACCATGGTACCCTGTACAACTGGGACACAGCTTCATCAGCAGACCATGGCACCCTGTGCAGCTGGGACATGACTTCATCAGCAGACCATGGTACCCTGTACAACTGGGACACAGCTTCATAAGCAGATCATGGTGCCCTGTGCAGCTGGGACACGACTTCATCAGCAGACCATGGTACCCTGTACAACTGGGACACAGCTTCATAAGCAGACCATGGCACACTGTGCAGCTGGGATATGACATCATCAGCAGACCATGGCACCCTGTGCAGCGGGACACGACTTCATCAGTAGACCATGGTACCCTGTACAACTGGGACACAGCTTCATAAGCAGATCATGGTGCCCTGTGCAGCTGGGCCACGACTTCATCAGCAGACCATGGCACCCTGTGCAGCTGGGACACGACTTCATCAGCAGACCATGGTACCCTGTACAGCTGCCTTACCTTTGGTCTCACAGACCCCGCTCTTTCCTCAGCCCCTTCGGTAACAGTGAGCTGTGTCTCTGCACAGTCTGCCTTCCTTCCTGGCATCCCCACTGCCTCCCAAATTAGTTTTTTTTTTTTATTTGAGACAGAATCTCACTTTATCACCCTCAGTAAAGTGCCATTGTGTCACAGCTCACAGCAACCTCCAACTCCTGGGCTTAGGCAATTCTCTTGCCTCAGACTCGGGAATAGCTGGGACTACAGGCGCCTGCCAGAACACCCGGCTATTTTTTTGTTGCAGTTTGGCAGGGGCCAGGTTCCACCCCACCACCCTTGGTATATGGGGCCAGCGCCCTACCCACTGAGCCACAGGCACCGCCCCCAAATTAGTTTTAAATTTGCGTAAGTAAGCTCTACAGTGGGTGTGTGTCTGGCACTGCAGGCTGGGATACTGCCACAGGCCACGTGCCTGCCTTCACAGAGTGCAATCACCCTGCTGGCAGAAATGCCCTGGCTCTGCCCACTCATCTTCTCCAGGTCCCAGAAACCACTACTCTTTTTACCATTATGTAATTTCACATCTTCCAGAATGTTGTCTAGTTAGGATCATATAGTAGGTAGCCTTTCCAACTGGCTTCTTTCATTTGGTAAAAATGCATCTGAACAGTCATCTCTGCCTTTATGGCTTCCCCATTCATCCCTTTTCACTGTTGAGAAATATTCCCTACATACCACACAGTTCATCCC